GCTATTGTGTTTTCGGTTCAGGGTGTGAGATGAATGCAAATTTTCAGTTGATTTGTGATTTTCCTTTTGATGACAAAAAAAAAGTTACGTTGTTAGATATATGAAAATGAAGATGTAATGAGATGATGATAAATAGTGTTGTGACAAAATAATCATTGGAAATTATTGGAATTTATTATTTAGATATGTTAAAAAAATTAATTGTAGACATTTTAAGTGATGTTTAATAATAATTTTATAAAATTCAGATAAATGGCAATGACAAGTTAAACAGGTCTTATTATAAAAGAGATAAATCGCCATTTTTTTTTTTAAATACTTGAGTAAATTCATAATTTTAGAAAAATAAAATTATTAACAGAGAAATATTATTAACACTAAAACCAACACCATTATAAAGATTAAAACATCTCTAGGTAATGCATAGAGAAGCAATTTCCACTTGTTGCAATCAGTCATATTCTCTTATATAGATATTTTTGTAGTGGTTAGGAATGATCTAATTTTTCACATATTGCCTATTTTCAATCATCATTATTATTATTATTATTATTATTATTATTATTATTTTTTTTATTATTTATTTATTTATTTATTTTTTTTTTGTGTATATATATTTTTGGAATGGCTAAGAGCATTTTAATGGGAGATTTTCTAACAAGTTTAAAAGCTTAATAAAAGCTACAATGATGAGGATTGAGGTTTGAATTTTTTGTCTAGTGTTGTGTTTTCAACCCTCACTTATTTATTTTTTTTTTTTTTATAATTTTTTTTATTGTCATTTTGTTGTCATGAACTTGTCTATTTATCCTAATTTCACCTTTCAGTATTTAATAACAATTATAAATAATTATTGAAATAATATGTAACTTTTAAACAATAATATTATGATATCTGTTAGAATATCACTTGTGAGTTGTCCCACATCGTTCATATATGGAAAATAGACCCACCTTATAAGTCTAATGGGCTACTCCTCCTTTCACCAATTGGTTTTGGGATGGAACCCCATTGGACTTCATATGGGTTTTTCCCTCTCATGGTGCGCTTCATGTCAGTGGGCCCGCATCGTTTTCCCCCAAGTTTCTTACAATATCGATATAATAAATGTCATTGTAAAAAATAATGAGTACAATTTTTAATAAACATGATTAAAATTGATGTATAATATAACTCGAGCTAGAAACATGTGGGGCCCAATAAAAGAAGATTTGCGAGGATTATGCTTATTGGAGGTTATGCGACAGTTATTCGATTGTTATGCATTAAATTTATATAAATTAAAGTAAGTGAGAAACGTGTGATGCCGTTAAAAGAAAATTTGTGAGATTTATGATTACCAGAAGTTTGTGTTATTGAGAGTAAAAAATGATATTTGAATGATGTGGAGTATTATTAATAATGTAAAATGTAGGCTTATAAAATCTTAACCATTAAAGTTGCTCTAAGGGAGGACCTCAAAATTATTAGGTTTAAGTTTTCTAAATGCCAATCATTCAGAAAAGTATGGCATCCACCTATTAAAGGACCACTTGTTGGAGGTATGGCTGAAAAAGACAAATTGTCCTATTTAATATTTGAATTTGCTATGATGGATTAAAAGAATAATTGTCATTCGTGAAAGAAAAAGTAGTTGAAGAATTTAATTTAATAATTTAAATAATACAAAATTATGTGACACAAATGCAATATTAAATTTCGAGATGTAGAGAAATAATAAAAATAAAGACGAGTATTTATAAATTTGTGATAAAAGGAACAGTAAGTTTATAAATTAATCTGTAATAATAATTAATTTTTAATTGAAAAAACAAATGTGCTGGAAATATTAAGCAGTGAAGAGAGAAAATTGAAATGGAACAAAATGCTTGATGGATAAATGTAATGAATTATATCGAAAAATTTTCTTTTAAGCCGCCCTAAACTTTCAAATTTGAGAAATTGAGTATATTTGCATGTTTCAATAATTCATGGCCACACAATAAATAATAATAATAACAATTTGGACGAGTTGTCAAGTCAATCCCAAATACTATGTCAAGTCAAAGAACATAATAATTCCCTTGGGGGTACGTTTAAGGTCGAGTGGAGTGACTCCAATTTTGTATGTATGACAAGTCACATGTCTAATTTATTTTTATTTTTTATTTTTGTAATTGACTGAAAGATAGACTTTCATAAATAAGCACGTATTTACGATTTAAAGAACAACAACAACTTAATCAAGCAGCTACATGACTAAATCGAGTTGGAAGACAATTCAAAGAGAAGCCTAGCCAACCACAAACGCACCCTCAATATTAAAATATCCCACCAATAGAGAATACAACTCTGAATAAAAATCAAAACAAACACAGGATAGTGATATAAAAAGAACTATAAAATATAAACAAATAAAGTAAAACCCTCCTCCACAACTGTCAAACTGTGCCAAAACCACCACTTGATGGTTTGTTTACTAAAAGTAGTGCTTCGTTTGAACACACTTTCAGTTTTGAATAAAAGAAGGATGTTGTTAAATACCGCTCCCTTTTTAATTATTACCGCCCCCAAAAAGACAGTTTTACCCTTTTTTAATACAAAGATGTTATGAAAACGGGAAAGATAAAGAACACAAAGTAAAAAGCGGATAGGAATTATACTTAGTATTTTCTTTCTTCTTTTCCTTCTCAAATTATGTGTACATTCACTACATTGGCAATGCCTTTTATAGGCAAATTTGCCGACACAATATACACCAATAATGCTCATCCCATACCCATTATTGTTCATTTAACTATTCTCATTTATTACAAATAGTGAAATATCACTATTGAGGCATAGTGGTTTATTCCACTTGTTTCTAACACTCCCCCTTGGAATTACCACTATGCAATGTGCGTTAATGCTGCCTCATTAAAAACCTTATCCGGAAAAACCCTGTGGGAAAAAATCGAAATAAGGAAAAAAGAGTACAACCACACATGCTCCCCCTCGAGTTATCATCCGT